CTGCTCCCCAGCGCTCATGAGCAAAAGGCAACGAGACAGACGGCCAGCTACCAGGCCATGACTTGGCTTAAACCTTTTCAAGGGCGGTTTGAGAGAAGCTGTCAGGTTTTGCTTAATAACGGGCACGCAGAGAGCTAAAGCACATTACTTAGAGCTCCCGCAGTTACAAATTCCTGGTGTCTAGCAGCAGCATCGTCATCTTCAGCTGAAATGGCCAGATCCGAAGGAGGACCTCACCACTTCCGAACATACCAGCTTTAGCTCTCCAAACCCATCTAGTCTGTGGCAGAAAAGAGCAGAGCAGCAGTGGATGAAACTCCCCATCTCGGATGCTGAGCTGTGCTATCCCCTGCTCGTGTCCTGCTACCCAAGCCCAGCAAGCAGCAGAGGGGAGGGAACCTGCTCCCGGTGCTGCTCCCCAGTGCGGCTTCTCCCCTTCTCCATGCGGGACAGCAGGCGCTGGCCGTGTGGCAGAAGCACTCTTTGCCACCTGGGTGCATATGGGCTCCCCCTTTCTTACAAGCAGCCTCCACTTTTCCTCCCCTTTACCTCCGATTCCCTCGCCCTTCCCAGCTCAATGCTCCTCGCGCAGCAGGGATGCGAGGGGTGGCAGGACACTCTCCAGCACTGTTTCCCCTGCTCCCTGCACGGCAGCCCTCACTGGCGGAGCCTGCAGGCTGTCGGGAGCAGGAGAGCAGATCCCTGCCAACAACAGGCACCCGCACACACCAGGAGTGGCGTAGAGCCTATGGGCTCCATGAGATCCGTCTCACTGAGCCGCCAGGCAACGGGGCTGAGAGCACGCGCGGAGCACCCACCCCTCCTGCAAATGCCCGCTGTGCCGGGCCTGATCCCAGCTCTTCAGAATAAAGGGAAAATCCATCAGGAGAGACAGCCCCTCTCCCAAGCCGTCCTCCTACCAACGCTCTCACTCTGCTGCTTCCAAACAAGTCGAGTGAGACCGGGCAGGCTAACGACCTGTGTGACAGAAAAGCCTCCCCACATTAGATTTTTTTCCCTCCTGCTGCTGTGCTGCATCCCACTCCACAGCCTGAGAAAAACTGTAGAAATAAAGCACCCGTTGGCTTTCTCCTGCTTTTCCCCAGCCGTGCTTTGCTTTTCTAATAGGGTTGCTAGGATTTCCTTCCATGATCATAAAGGAGCTTTTTGACGAGACAAAGGCAGGGACGCAGAGGCACCAGCGGCTTCTTTCGGGGACACCCAGGAACTGGTTTGTCTGCAAATTCCTCAGCGAGGAGGCTCAGCCAGGCAGCCTTGGGGAAATGCAAATCAACCCCTGTAACACCAGCAGCAAAGTGCTCCTGTCCTGGGGCCCCTTTACCTTTGGTCACCCCGGCCTCTTATCCAGGGTCTAGGAACAGCCTCTTAGAAGCTTTCTGCTGCGTTCCAGGGAACCTCCGAACATTTCGGCATTTCGGGAGGTCGTGTTTTACTGAGGGCTTCCTTCCAAAGCTCAGAGGCAATCGGGTTTTGTCATGTCATAAATTTATGTTCTCCATCTAAAATAAGCCCAAAACCACAACAGTCTTTCCTGAGGTAGTCAATGCACAGATGCAGAAGACTATATATATACACACATATAGATTTTTACCACCAAATTTTAACCCCCAAATTCTGTGTTTTACCCTTTGTAACACAAGAGGTTTTAGACCAGAGGCTCTCACAGTCTAAACAGGCAGACCTTACCCCAAAAGCATATTAAAGACTCTATCTTATTCTGTGTTTTTACAAACCTTTTAACCTTTTACATAGACAGCCTAGGGCCGGCATTGGAAAAGGGGTGATTGCAAAAGGATCAAGAAGGAATTTAAAGCATGAAGATAAAAAAAAAAAAAAGACATAATGAGACAAAGCAGTGTCAGATTTCATTCATTACGTGTTTTAGTGAACTTTATCTGATTTCTTCTAATATAACTTAATTGCTAAATGTTTATTTGCTTAAAAAAAAAAAAGTTTGCTAAGGCAGATGGTCCAAGTCTTTAATCTATGAACTCATTTAATCCAACTAGAATTTGCAAACTACAGGGCCCAATCTAAAATATACATGAACACACTTAAACTGCAAGTACATTCACCGAAGCTAGCACATACATATTGCATATGTAGATCTCAGCGTCTTTATTTTAAATTCACCATCTGGGTGTCACTGACACCTTCGAACCGCCCTAATTACCACCGAGATGCTCGTCTCCAGCACACAAACCTGTTCAAGCACTGACAAGGTTGTTAGCTGGGCTCAGAAATCCCAAACTCTGATCCTCAGAGGATGTATTTCCATATTTATCTCATCAAGCGATTCCATCTCCTCAGCAGACTCAGAGGATCCCCACAGCATCATTTTTATGGAACTCTGTAACAGCTATGTGTTGAAATGCCCTCCCAAACTATGACGGACCAACACAAACCACTCGTGTCCCCTGCAAGCTTAACCTGATAATGTCAATGCATTTGCCACCAACACACAAAAAACTTGCAGTCACACACCTGAGCACTCTGACTCGCGATGTCCAGAGGACTGAGATAACCCCAGACAACACTCCGGTTGGTATAAAAGCAAATAAATGTACATACAATATATACAGCATATACATTAGCAGTTCATGGCAGCCTATGAGCTAGGCAGCCTGACCTGGCACATGCTTAAGTGTTCTCAGAAGATCTCTGTAGTCTTTGGCAAGTCTCTTACCCTTCCACCTTCAGGTCTCCATCCATAGAAAGACGACAATAAAATTAACATTACAGAACTGCTGCTAGTTATGACAACTATTTTTAACACATTATTAAGAAAAGAGGCTATATTAATAAATTATATTGCCTTATTATTAATAACTTATTTGGGCAAAATTTGGAGTTATATGAATTCTATCTAAAGACAGCAATATCCAGAGCAAAAATGTAATTGCTGCGCACAATCAAATAATGAATACAAATCAGTAATAAAGAATTATTAAAAGGCTGGCTTTTCTGCACATATATTCAGATTAAATAGCAAAATATCAGCTAGCTGAAGTTACCATCATTTACATACCAGAAAGTTTTAAGTTGGGAACTCGTTAAAAACCTTCATGAAAAAAATATCTTGAACGAATTCTCTAAATTCTTTTTATTTGTCTAGAAATTTATCAGAAATTCAAACTCCTATTTCTGTCATTTTCTAAAATCTTTAAATACAGCAGCCTACACTAAGCAAATAGCACAAACTATTCTTTTAAATTATCTGACAAATATCATTTTGAAAATGCCAAACATCTCTTCCACACCACCCTCTGTAGCCAAAATTCAAACTTCTGCAAATTGCTTTTTTTCTGCGAAAAGCTAAAGTGCACAGAACTCTCTTTTTCTCTACTCAGAACCAACCCAGTTTTATAGGCAGGTCATTACTACCACAATAGCATTCAAATTCTAGAGAATTACTAAGCCCACAGTCCTTAATTAAAAAGTAAATAAAGGCTAACTAATTTGAAGTGTTTTAAGTTTTTTTTTTTTTTAGGTAAAGTAGCAAAGTAGAAGATCATATTTATACACACACTGTTGAACACCTGATATGGTGTTCATACGCTGCAAACATTTATCTTACATAAGATGGAAGTTAAGTAAAGATTGGAAGAAAATGTACAGCGAATTTCTTTGGGACAATTTTTATTTATCATTTTAATTGATGGTTTTGATACTTTTGGCACAAAATTGGAAACAGCAATAAGGATATAACACAGAAAAAAAAATAAAAGGAAATAAAAGGAAAGGAAATTGACCCAGCATGAAACTGTGGATCATAGAGTGTGTGATTCTATACTTATAAAGAAATGCACTACCACGTTATCTCAGGAGCCCTTATCCGATGGAAATAAGACAGGCACACTCATGAACCTGAGCAGATGACCGGGAAATATGAGGCACAGGCCATGAGATGCCCAAACATTCGCAGTCGGAACAGGGAACTGCTCCTGCCACTGCAGGACGACTCGGTAAGACTCAGTCTGCAACGGCGCATACGACGTTAGCGCGCAGGCAGGCAGATGCCTGGCACAGGTGTCGAAAAGAACCGCAAGGATGAAGACGAGGGGGGAAAAGAGAAACCAGGAAGACTGGGCAACGGGGCACACGCCGGACGGGCGAGCGGGCATTGAGCG